GGATTCACTGTACAGAATCGTCTGGTTCTCTCTAGAACCGGACGATTTCCGATTTTTTGGGCGATCCAGTCCCTTTTCACGATTTCCGAGTCGAACCGGGCGAGTCCGGTTCGACTCGGCGTTTTTTAAAACGCTGCCCATAACCCAAAAAATTTACCCCATTAATTCTTATTGGGCAGTTGCAATAATGATCCAAAGGGTGTTCAGGTCTTGTGTGCATCAGATTCATATGGGCCAATAACTTTAGGCAAGACTGTCACCATGGTAGCTTTCCCTGGCTGAAGATATATGATGCTTGTCAGACAATTGAAATGCAATTGCAAGCAAAGCTCTTGCTCATTTTTTTTTACAATCTGCACATAAAATACTAGTCCAATTGACTCCAAATAGTTAGAATAAAACTCAGATGATGATGACATAGGATACCAGGCCACTTTCTTTCATTGATAAGCGTAAGGTGGGGGAAAATTTAAGTAATAGAGGAAGGTTAACTTATGTATTGGTTGATGTTATGGCAGGGAGGGGGCAAAGGCAACGAAGAAAAGACCACATTGCTGGCATTGTTGGTCAGGGACATGGAATCCTCAAGGCGACAAGATCTTCCACCGTTGGAATCCTTCTTATGAAGAATTGGATACTTCTTCTCATCTACATAGCATTCTTAACAGTTCGGTTCCTGCTCTTTTCTTTTACTTCATCAACCAAAATAACCTACAAGTGAAACTTGTTGTTTGTATCTGTGTAGAAAATGATAATATTAAATTGGTGTTTGTCGGCGGCACCGTGTTACTTCTTTTCAAATGTCTACCACGAAGCTAATGGTAAAGCCGATTCTTTGGCAAAAGCTGGTGCTTATCTTCTTTCTGCTGTCCTTACCTCTGTTCTTGATGTGAAACTCCATTTTAATTATCTTTATCTAATAAAGGTTTTGACTCTTGTCAAAAAAAATTATTAAATTGGAAAAACCTTTTATTGTAGCTGTAGCAATGTTTGCTTCTAAGTAAACAACAAAATTGGAGGAATTTGCAGTCATGTATCCATTCATGGACTCAAAAGCTTATATTGTGTGCAAGGCAAAAAACGGTGCAGTTTGGATAGAGCCGAGGCTCTAAACAATCAAATTAGAGCGACTTTCAAATAGTGTCGAGAAATATGGTTTTAATATTGGAAATTTTTGTAATAGCCTTAAAATATACTTTCATTTTTAATTATAGATTTCAAAGCTTTAAAAATAGTGTAGATCAAGTAGATCTATGAAAACTTGAAAATCTTGAAAATTGACGGTCAAAAAATGTGTTACAAGATGCACTATTTCCGAAACTTAAAATACATTTTTTTCTCAAGTCCATGCATTAGATGATCGATTTGATGACATTTGAGCATCAAAACAACATTTTCTAGTGAAAGTTTTTAGTTCGGCTCTAATTTGATTGTTTAGAGTCTCGACTCTATATAAACTTTTCCCGACAAAAAAGAAAGAAGAAACTAAGCCAAACAGGGGAGGTATTTGCTAAAAAGTGGGCAATGTAAATGGAGCGCCATAAAATTCTTGAGTAAAGAACATGACATGTTGGGAATTGACTTAATGAAAATATTAAAAACTGGGTCTACATGTGTGATATGGATAATGAATAAATATTGATACCTTATATTGCAACGAGAACTATTAATTTTTCACAAAAATACCAGGACGGATAAACTTAAAGTCTCTTTCTCAAAAGAGGAAAAAGCAAAGAGAAATAACTCACTTTTATAGAAGTTTTTGTTAAATGTTTGTTTAAAAATGATAAAATCCAGTAATGGTTCATTGTTTTTATATTTTATTTTTAGTATATATTTATAATATCTATTTCTAAACATGTTTGGTGGGGATGAGGTGATATAGCAATGCCAAGATGTTGGAGCTCTACTTTAACCATTTCATTGTTTCACATATCCAAGTGTCATGCAATGCAAGGAAGGTGAGAGGGACTATTTTTTAGGACAAATATCCAAAAGCTCTAAACAATAAAATGAGAGCCTACTTTCAAATAGTATCGAGAAATGTGGTTTCAATACTAGAAATATTTGTGATAGCCTTGAAATGTATTTTTATATTTATTTATAAAGTTTAAAGCTTCAAAAATAGTGTAGATCAACAGATCTATGAAAACTTGAAAGTCCTAAAAATTGACGGTAAAAAATGAGTTACAAAATACACTATTTCCAAAACTTTAAATCTATTTTTTTTCTCATGTCCATACTTCTTGATGTCGAGATGATCAATTTGAAGATATTTGAGCATCAAAACAATCTCTTCTAGTGAAATTTTTGAGGTTGACTCTAATTTGATTGTTTAGAACCTCGGCTCTATATAAACTTTTCCATATCCAAATAAACATGCAAGGTTGGATTTTTTTGCGGGAAAATGATATAAGCACTGTACATTTAAAGTTTCTATAAACAGGCAACCAATACAATACTTTGTTACTGTTTTCCTTTTCAACGGACGCAAGTGAATTTGTTGGATCATTTTGGACATAAATTAAAGCACTTTTTCGCTTTATATTTTATAAACAACAAATAAAAAACAACTTTAAACTAATTTCTACAAGGGGAATTTGCATCCAAGTGCCCTAAAACTTCATCATGGATTGTCAATACAAAGGAAAACAATAACAAGGTATTGGGATAATAACGAAACTAGTATGGTGTTCTTGTGTGTATGAACTTTTTAACACATGGGGAAACTAGTAGGGTGTTCTCGTGTGTATAAACTTTTTAACACATGGGGGGTTTCTGTAATTTCCCATTTCTTTATTTGATTTTGATTAAATTGCGTTGGGCTTATTTTGATGCGGATCATTGTGCACTCATGATGGTTGTGGAGGTGGATGAACGCTTACAATTCGACGAAGATAAAGAGAATATCATATAGTTGTACTAGGATAAAATGAGCTTAAAGACCTAATTTGCTCATGAGTGAAAATTGCCCGGCGGCATATATAAGGAATGAAACTTGTAATTTGTGAAAGAAACTAGCACAAGAGTGACCAAGCTACTTTCAAGTGTAATATATTACGAATAAGAGTTTATTCGATGAAGATAAATAGATTATTTATTTTTGGTATAAGGAGGTTATAATTACTTTCTATATGAAATTTAATAGCTTGAGTGTGTCACAGAGTTCGAGAAAAGTTCTTTTGAACTTTGATCTTGGTCAATGGAATAAATGCAGCTACCCCATTTCACATCCAATGGTCAAGATTAAATGTGACCACTTTGTACCAAAGTATTTCAAAGGAATGACCCATCAAAAGCCAATTATAAAAAAAGTATTATAGACCATTTATTTTTGTTGCAGAGATGTCATAATTAATACTAGATGTCAAATTAGATGGCTTGGGATATGTCACAAAGTTTGAAAACTTTTGTTTTATTTAACTTTGAATCTAGTCCATGACGTACTCAGAAGTACCTGATTTAAAATAAGACAGATGAGCAACTTTGACTTCCTTGTATCTTTATATGCTTTCCCTATAGAAAAAAAAATGGTACAGTTTGTATAGAGCCGAGGCTCTAAACAATCAAATTTGAGCCTACCTTCAAATAGTATTGAAAATATAGTTTCAATACTGGAAAGTTTTATGATAGCCTTAAATTATATTATCATCTTTAGTAATAAAATTTAAAGCTTCAAAAATAGTGCAAATCGAGCAGTTCTATGAAAACTTGAAAATCTTGAAAGTTGATGGTCCAAAAATATTGAAAATTGATGGTCAAAAAATGTGGGTGGATACCAGAAGGGGGGAGAGGGGTATGTCTCCAACTTGGAGGTCGATTCAGAACTGTAAAGCTTTGTTAAACAGAGACATTCGGTGGTCTATTGATAATGGCAATAATATTTCCTTTGGCATCATAAATGAGTTGGGGATGCTCCATTAAAATTGGCTTTTCGTAATATTTTCCAGAGAGTGGCTAACCCCAATGATATAGTTTCTGATTGTTATGAGCATCGGGGTGGCCAAGTTTTGTAGAATATTGAGCTCCCTTATAATAGGATCTCTGATGCACTCTTTTCTGAGCTTTCTGGTCTGCTAAGATTATTGGATAAGGTTTATATCTCTCTAAATGCTGTAGATGAGGCTGTGTGGGAGATTGATAATAATGAAGAATTTTCGGTGAAGTCAATGTACTAGCTACTTTTCCATGATTGGTGGCGGTCGTCAAGACCTAAACTGGCCGTCATTTGGAGGTGGCCCTTACCTCTAAAGGTGCAAGGCTTTATATGACTAACTGTTCAAAATAAGGTGCTCACAGTTGACAATCTTATCCAGAGGGGGAAAATATTGCCAAATATATGTCTAATGTATAAGGAGAATGGGGAATCTGGAGATCATCTTTTTCTACATTGTTCTTTTACCTTTCGTATGTGGAGAATGTTCTTTGCCTAGCTTGGGTTTGCGATGGTGATGCCGCCAAGTGTTGAAGGTATTTTGTATAATTTGACAATTGAGTTTCCTCAGACTGGCGCCATCATTTGGCAAATCACTAAAGGTGTAATTTTATAGGAAATATGGAAAGAGAGAAATAGATGAGTGTTTGATGGGATAAGGTTTCCATTTGAGATCGTTTGGGAGAAGATTCTACATGCCATTTGGCTAGATCTTTTGATTAGTAAATTTGGTCAAGATATCTCGGAGGTGGATGTTAGGAGTAATTTAAAGTTGTTTTTCCAGTTGGGCTTTCTGAAGTGAAGATTGAAAAGTAGGTGGGTGGCTCTGATTATTGGGGTTTTTAAGTTAAACTTTGATGGCAGCTCTTTAGGAAACCCGGGTCCTGCGGGTTTTGGTGGTGTTCTTAGAGCTTGGCAAGGGAGGGACTGTTATATTGTCGTATGCTGGTCCTTTAGGGGTGCATACTGCTAATTATTCCGAACTATTTGCTCTGTTCTTTGGCCTTCGTATCTTTGTGGATAGAAAATTGGGGAGTTTTTGTGTCTTTGAAGGTGACTCATTGAACGTCATCAAATGGTGTAAGGGAGAGCATAAGTTACCTTGGGAGTTCAAATCGCTGCTTCTTCAAATTTTAGACATTTCTCGTCCCTTCTCGTTTTCTTTTGTACATGTATATAAAGAAGCGAATGTATTGGTTGATACCCTTGCTAAAGGGGGTTCCCTCCTTTTTGTGACTATTGTCTTTGACTCTGTAATCTCCTTTTAGTTGAATAACATAGTGGAATTTCTATAAAAAAAAAAATGCATTACAAGCCAAACTTGAAATCCATTTTTTTCTATTTGGGCATCAAAATAACCTCTTTTAGTGAGAGTTTTAAGGTAGGCTCTAATTTGATTGTTTAGAGCCTAGGTTCAATATAAACTTCTCCCAAAATAAAACACTTAAAACTAGTAAAAGTGGTGTTGACAAATTTTCCCACTTAAGAGAATAGTCAATTGCTAATATAATTGACAAGCAAAGCTGCATAAAACTATTTAGGAGTTGAACTCATGACCTCTATAGGTGCAGCCCATTATTTCATATTTCACAAGCATTCTGAAAACAACCCTAGTAGTGTTTTCCAAAATACATAAGGACCCGTTTGGATCTTTGGAGTTTTCAATTTTGGGAAAAGTCAATCTTGGAATGGAGATTTACTGGATTTGACATTTCTTGGAATATGGTGTATGTTGTTTGGATCGTATCCGGCAGAAATCAAGAAAATGCAAATTCCTTGTTTGGATTACCTAGAATATCTCTCTGTCTAAAAAATTTGCGATAGTTTCTCTCTAAATTTGTAATACACTCTTTCAAAAAATTAAAATTCGAAATAGTCACTCTCTAAAAAATTTAAGATAGTTTCTCTCTCTAAAAAATTTATATACTCTCTTTCTAAAATTTGATATACTTTTTTGCTCTAAAATTTGATATAGTTTCTCTCTCTAAAATTTGATAGTTTCTCTCTCTAAAATCTAAAACTTAAATTTTGAGATAGTTTCTATCTCTAAACAATTTTTTTTCTCTATCTAAAATATGATATAATTTCTCTCTCTAAAATTTTAAGGTGCTTTCTCTATTTAAAACATAAAATTTGAGATAGTTTTTTTTAAAAAAATTTAAGATAGTTTCTCTCTCTAAGAAATTTTAGGTATTTTCCCACTCTAAAATTTTAATATGCTTTCTCTCTCTGAAACTTAAATCTTGATATTGTTTCTCTTGAAAAAAAGACATATGTGATCTTTTTATTGGGGAATAAATTTTTTTTTTTTATATATCACCCCTTTTGTTTTGGTAAATGATCACTTATAGGTGGTCTTTTTACAACAATATATATTTCAAAATAAAATCAATATGGCAATAAAACCATTATCTTAAAACTTGATATCATTGAAATAACGATACACTATGCTTGAGAATAAAAAATAAGATTGCAAGAAATAAAAGAGAAGAGTGCCGAAGATTACCTCAACCGGGTTTATTACACCCCACACCGAGTCACCAGCATCCGATTGTACGAGATCGACGATCTTGCTTCAATCTCAAACTGGGAAAGCAAGGTTAGGTTAAGCCACATCAATGGAACATGAACCCCTTTGATCATAGACTTAAACCCTAGGTGAATTCCCTTAGCAACCTAGTTTGAGAGAGATGTATTTTCTTTTTGCTAAACCCAAAAACCCTTAGCCATAAATTCATAGTTGAGAGATAGTAGGCATAACCTAAACTCTTAGGTTCTTTCACAATGTACAATGTAGGAGAGAGAGAAACTTTTCTTAAGAGAGAGAGAGATAAATCTAAGTGGGATATGAGAGAGAAATATGGAATTACGTACATCAGATAAGGTGTAGAGATTTTTGGGTAGAGACAATCTTTTTTTATAGGCTTTGAACAAGATTAGAGTTTCTTATGGTTTTTCTTGGTTTGCTAAATATCACTCTGTTAAGTAGGCTTGATAAATATAGTTATTCATGTCTCAATGAAGAATATATCAAATTAAAGAAAATTCAGGATGACTTCTCTTCAATCCAAAATTTGTATTCCTCTCTTCTCATAGATATTTCTATCTTAAATAAATTTTATTAGAAACTAAACTCAGAAAGGAAGTTTAAAATTTTAGTGTGGACCATAAAACATTATGTTAAGTACAGAAATAAAATCATGATTTCCAAGTTATGGAAATAGTATTCGTTGCAGAAAACAACACTTGCGCATCCTTGAATAAATTGATCATATCTTTCAAACCACAAGGACTTCCTTGATGAAACTTTTTTTTTTTTAAAGTAGACTCAATTTTGTAAATCATAGTAAAATTTCAGCAAGAAATAAAATCATATGACTGGTAAGAAAAATCATGGAACTCAATGGACAGTTCTTGGATTTTGCCGCAGAACTAACACCCTTCATTGATGATTTCATAACTCTCACTTCCTTTAGGATCTCTTACTAATATTTTGCAGGTAAGTCCTAATCTTAAAGACACAAAATATCAATGAAGTATATAATAAAAAAATACCTCATTATCTTCTTCATATCACTACTCCAAAATAGCCCAAAATACTCATTATGTAGAGTGCATTTTCGGTGTTGGAATATTTCAATAATTTTTAATCGTGAGTGTATTTCTTGACCACAAAGGTCATTAGCTTTCTTATATCTCATTCTCAAACTTGATCTAAACTCAATAAAGAGAAAAGACAATTAATTACATCAAGTATTAATAGCTCTGATATCAATGAAAGAAAGACCTATGTGATCTTTTTATCGGTGAATAATATATATATATATATATATATCACTCTTTTTGTTTTGGTAAAAGATCACTTACAGGTGGTCTTATTACAATAACATATACTTCAAAATAAAATCAACATGGCAATTAAACCAAGATCTTAAAACTTGATACCATGAAAATTACTATGCACTATGCTTGAAAATAAAAAATAAGATTGCAAGAAATAAAAGAGAAGAGTTAAGAAAATTGCCTCAACTGAGCTTATTACACCCCACACCGAGTCACTACCAT